GGTCATAAACCTTGTGTTTAAATTTCATAGATTTCTATTTATTTATACTAAAGTTATTGTCCGGAAACTAAATGTCTTTGGACGACGACGACGTGATACCAATATACGACTGCAAAAATTTTGCGGTCGTATAAAAAGCAAAAGATGTTGTGCAATTCCAGATGCCATAATTCACTCACATGCTCAAACAAATGATAAAGAACTATTTTTGTATTTTGTAAATAAGGTTTATTGTGTGGTCATTGAATAATAATTCTATAGTGTGTATCAATGCTTTTTTTTATAACAAACTCCATACTATAAATTATTGTACAAGTTATAAGTGAATTTTAGTCAAATTTTGTACAAATTGTAATTTGTACAAGCACTTTTGTACAAATTATAATTTGTACAAAATGATAACTTGTACACAACATATATATACATGTATATGCATTTAAGAGTTCTTGTCCATTCAGAATTGTTTAGTTGGAAACAGATCTTTGGTAGTAACTCTTAAATTTAGATTTGGGGTGATGTAATTCCTGGCATATTATGTAGGCACTTCTGGCTACCAGTCAGCCAGATTTTACTTTTACCCCAAATTTGCATGCTTAGCAGAGAAGCAGTGAACATTTTTATTGAACCCACACCATCAAACACTCAGGCTGCTTCCACCACTATCAACACATTGCAGCAGATAAAAGATATGCACAACACCTTCACTATCAACATGATGCAGTTGATTAATTAAGGACAAATATAACACCATCACAAATTAAACAATATTGAAATGAAGAAAATTAAACTATGATACAACTTATATATTTTAAATCCCTTGAACAAAACAAACCACCACATAATGTCTGTGGATATACCAATATGGGTATGTAATCTTGATATACCAGTACAAAGAAAAAGACAATCAAATAAATTCTTAGTTCTAATCTGAGACTACAATATGTGATAAAGTAGTCTCAGTTCTAATGTAGGCTTTGTCACAAGATTAAGACATATATTGATTGAGTAGTATTTTATTGATACTCTTGGTAACAACAAATGTATATATAAACTATCAAATCATTAAATTAATTTCAAAGTTTTACAACAATTTCAAATCAACAACCTCTCATGTTGTTTAATCACTTTTTAATATCAATATGAAGTATATTTTCTAATAAACGATCTTGTTCAAAACCTCATTTTTTTTTTATTATTTCAGTCTACATAATATTTAACTTACCTAAAACTAAAGGTTACAACTCCATCAGACCAAATTTGACCTTGGATGGTTTTGGTTGTCCTATTAAAAACCATTTGTATTGATTCTTAAGCCATTTTCTCTCTGGAATACCTGGTGAGGTTTTTTTTTCAAGAAATATATCATTGGGCATTACAATCAGTGGCATAACCAGGCAGTTCTCTGGTGGATTGTTCTCATTGGCAATCATACAAAATCTTTTTATTTTTATATAATTGGAACCAGAAGTGTTGATGTCTAGTAATGCTGAAGACCACCTGTGAATCCTTAATGAAGTTGTTGCAAGGGTTCTTTAATGTGCAGAGAGCATGTCATGCCAAATTAACACCTATTGCTGATGAGTATTACTCCTCAGAGGGAGAAACTGGACCAATTTCTATATTTAGAGGAACCTTTGGAGGTTTTAATTTATTTTATTTGGAAGGATTCTAAGTTGTAAAATTAAAAAAAAAAAATCAACCCTTCCAAACAAAAACACGAACTCATAACTGCCCTATTGGAAGCAACTCCTATGCTGCATACATTACAGTATGCTACTGGGAATCAATATCAAAAATGTATATAAACCTAATAATAAAATATTCACTGTTTTAAGAAAGTCAAGGTTTGCCCCAAAACAAAGAGGTGATATTCTGGGTTATTTAACTATTAAACATTAAGAAATGATAAAAAACAAATGTGCCATATTATGAATATCAAGCATGTTCACTAAACATATTTGTTCATATTTTAAGTAGAATAGCATACATGTATATACACAGGCATGGATTTCCTTATTACTGTAAGTTGGGACTTTTGAAGAAAATCAAAATACATGAAATACCAATTCAAAAAATATAATACAATATAAGTATTCTTATGTGAAGAAAGTATATAAAAGTACCCCATATAAAATAAGGAGATGAGGTATGAGTGCCAATGACATAACTATCCACCAGAGACCAAATGACATAGATGTTAGAAACTATAGGTTGCTGTACAGCCTTAAACAATGAGCAAAAACTATACCGCACATGTAGCTATAAATGGCCCTGACATAACAAAATGTAAAAAAATTCAAATGAGAAAAGTAATGGCCAGATTTATGTACAAAATAAAAAAAGAAAAGAAAAACAAATAAGATATGCAGTAACTAATAACAACAACTGAATTACAGACTCCTGACTCTGTACAGACACATAAGGAATGTGGCAAGGTCAAACATGTATGTGGGCATCCAACAAGTACATAAATCTTGTTTTTAAACCAAATACAGTCAATTTCCACTGCTTAGTGAACAAGTAGATTTATTCATATACATATCAAAGGTCTAATGTAATTTTAGACAATGTAAAAAGTAGAAATTTGACAACACCAAAAATGTATTTATGCATCATCTTATTGAAATTTCAATTTGAGTCTTGAAAGCAAAAGTTTATTGTCTTTTGTTAAGTTTTTTGTTGTGCTTTCAGGAGTCTGATGAGTCAAGCCCTTTCCAACTGATTTTAAATTTTTGTCTAATGTTGTGCTGTTACACCACTGCCCTAGGTTAGGGGAATGTTGGATGCTCCAAGATATGTATTACCCATTCACCTTGTTTTTGTCTCTGTCCCGAGCCTTTAATTCAGTGTTTGTTGTTGGTTGCCTTCTGCCATAGGTGTCTTTATTAACATAAAACAGGCTGCTGGATTTTTTCCTCTGATTTTTTTTACATTTTGTCATGTTAAGGCTATTTAATTTTTTACTATATAGTATGGGTTTCACTCAGGTTTGAAGGCTGAACTGACCTAAAGATATTTACATCTTGTCCATGGGTCTTTGGTTGATAGATGTGCTATTGGCAATCATACCTCATCTCCTTAGTTTTATAATGATGAGGATTTAAAGCATGACATAATAAATGAAAAATAATTATAAATAGGGACTATCACCTGATATTTATGGTAAATTTCATTTATTTACTGAAAGATTTATTTTCATTCCTTTTATCCTTGTTCAAACAATAAAATGGGGCACATTATTGACTTGATTTTGCTAGTCACTATATCAGTTATATTTTTTCAAATTTACATTTATCTTTTGTTTAAAAAGATTAGAGGAAGTAATAAAAACATGAATATCACAAAACTTGACTCTTCAAATATTAAACACAATTCACACAATATCTAAATAAAAGTATAGTCTGTAATTCTTAAATCTATTTTTTTTTTAATTTAAGTGGACCTAATTCTAACTAGTGTGTTATACATACACAAGTTAATTCAGACAACAATAACAAAATTTATATGCCATTCTATTAAATAACAACTCTTTTAAATTTAATTTTTATCAATAAGACATAACATAATTTGTATATACTTGAAAACAAATCTGAGTATTATTTCACAACAACTCTTCATTTTATCAAATCATGAAATTTTGTATAATAATGAAACACTGTAAACACAACTCTTGAACTGGATTTTATCAATGTTGATTGTTAGTATTAAGGTGGAGATAGGAGTATTCATTCAAAAATAAAGCTAAACTAAATATAATGAAGTCATCAACTTGATGATTTTTCTTCATTGCAACTATAAATTTGGAACAACTTGAGGAGAAAAAAAAACAAAATAAAAACCACACACACAAACTAGAGGCTCTAAAGAGCCTGTGTCGCTCACCTTGGTCTATGTGCATATTAAACAATGGACACAGATGGATTCATGACAAAATTGTGTTTTGGTGATGGTGATGTGTTTGTAGATCTTACTTTACTGAACATTCTTGCTCCTTACTATTATCTCTATCTATAATGAACTTGGCCCAGTAGTTACAGTGGAAAATATTTTGTAAAAATTTACAAAAATTTACAAAATTTATGAAAATTGTAAAAAATTGACTATAAAGGGCAATAACTCCTTAAGGGGTCAATTGACAATTTTGGTCATGTTGACTTATTTGTAGATCTAACTTTGCTGTACATTATTGCTGTTTACAGTTTATCTCTATCTATAATAATATTCAAGATAATAACCAAAAGCTGCAAAATTTTCTTAAAATTACCAATTCAGGGGCAGCAACCCAACAACATGTTGCCTGATTGGTCTGAAAATTTCAGGGCAGATAGATCTTGACCTAATGAACAATTTTATACCATCAGATTTGCTCTAAATGCTTTGGTTTCAGAGATATGAGCCAAAAACTGCATTTTACCCTATGTATTATTTTTTTGCCATGTCGGCCATCTTGGTTTGCGGGCAGGGTCATCGGACACATTTTTTAAACTAGATACCCTAATGATGATTGTGGACAATTTTGGTTAAATTTGTCTTAGTAGTTTCAGAGGAGAAGATTTTTGTAAAAGATTACAAAAATTTACGAAAAATGGTTAAAAATTGACTATAAAGGGCAATAACTCCTTAAGGGGTCAACTGACCATTTTGGTCAAGTTGACTTATTTGTAGATCATACTTTGCTGAACATTATTGCTGTTTACAGTTTATCTCTATCTATAATAATATTCAAGATAATAACCAAAAACGGCAAAATTTCCTTAAAATTACCAATTCAGGGGCAGCAACCCAACAACAGGTTGTCCGATTCATCTGAAAATTTCAGGGCAGATAGATCTTGACCTGATAAACAATTTTACTTCCTGTCAGATTTGCTCTAAATGCTTTGGTTTCAGAGATATAAGCCAAAATCTACATTTTACCCTATGTTCTATTTTTAGCCATGGCGGCCATCTTGGTTGGTTGGCGGGGTCACCGGACACATTTTTTAAACTAGATACCCCTTTCAGGTCAGGTGAGCTAAAAACCTGAAAATAGTTACTTGTAACTAAAAAAATCTAAAATTAATGTTAGCAAGTTATCAGATACAACAAAATTATTTGATTTTGCAAAGTGTATTCTCTCATTTCTAAAGTGCTTGAAACTTTGAATTTATCAGGTGAAAGCTCATGATCACAGGATACAATAGAAGATAGTGAATAAGAACCTTTTATTAGAGATAACATCAACAACATTTTCATCTTCATGACTATGGTGCAACAGGAATGTCTCAGCCTAATCTTGTACCAAATGTACCAAATAAATCAGCTCCTGTCCTGCAGACATCACAAAAAAGTAAAGACAAGTACAATGTTCCAGAATTTTAAGTACAAGGGCTCTATTACTGTGAAAATGCTGTCAAAAGTATCAATTGATTTATTGTTGGCATTTAACACCACTTTCAGCCCACATGGCTATATCATGGCTCCCACTTATTTCTGGTGGATGAAACCAAAGTACCCTAAGAGGACCACCAACCTTTGACAGGAAAACTGGGAATCCTTATCAATAAAGATCAAATTGGAACATACCTTGCCACATGTGGGGTTTGATTTGATAACCTCAGTGTTGACGGAGTAGTGATCACTGTAGAGGAGCTATTTAGACCACTTGGTCACAATCATCATGATCATAAGAACAAAATACAAATTTGATCTGTAACTCATCCCTATACACTTATTAACCAAAAATTATCTCAAAATTTTCAAGCATTATGAAAGTATGAACTACTATTTGATTTCAGAACACAGAACTATGGACAGTGGAAACACTTAATGTCACAAAAACTTAATGGCAATGCCATAAAAATTGATAATCTAAACTATTCATGCAAATTTCAACTTCACTACACAGAAATCTAATTTCTTATCAATATTACTTTCCATCAAAAAAATATATTTTCTTCTCACAAACAAGTATACTATAAAATCTTCTGTCATTAAATGTAATAAAGTTAAATGTAAAATGACATCAAAACAATTATATAACAACAACTTTGTATGATGAATTTCTTGATTGTATTCTCCTGAGATCAAATTAACAATATAAACCTGCCCTTCATTTTCCTCCATATCTTGCCAGTAATGATTCTATTTCACTTTCTGCTGTCTTGTCCTGTAAAGAATTCATATCAAGCAATGGCATAGTAATTATATATAACATTATAAAATAAGGAAGGATTGCTATAAACCTGTATAACTATTATAAGGTAATTGCACCTTTCATATTAAAGAAGCAAAATTTGTAACCTGTAATAACAGAACAGCACTTATTACCAAAAAATCACCATTATCTTCTATCAGCAACCACAAAATATATAATTACTTAGTTAAAGTTAATTTCAATTCTAAATCACATGTAATTTTAAATCAAATAAATTTTTAACAACTACTGGAAACATAAACTTTGACAATTTTATAAGAGATAACAAAAGTGAATGTTCACCTTTCTGATTGTGAAAGTTCATTTTCAGCTTTATTTATGGATGTATCTTTTCTACAAACTAAGTCTTGGAAGTATATAGGAATTAACTGTACTACATGCTTGCAATTGGATCACAGTAATGCTGAACATATTGAAATAACCCAAACATGCATCAATACATTTACACACTTGAAAGGTCAAAGTAACAGTACAAAGTAATAATAAAAATTCGTTTGTATCCACAGAATTTCAAAGAAATGTGCTCAAACAAAATAATTAACTTTATAACGACATGTGTTAAACTTACATCTTGACTAACTACAGGCAGAAGACTGGCCTTTTCTAACCATTCTACAGCTTCAGAGTACTTCCTTAGTTCTATATAACACTGAAAAGTAAACAAAAGTCTGCTATAATTATTCTTATTACTAAAATAAAATAGTACTTCTTAGTTGGTATAAACAGGCATATCATATTTTTAGTTTTACTCAAGTTATTTTGGAGATAATATGACTTATTGTATGTTATAAGTATGTTGTAGTAATTATCAAAGTATAATTGAGTTTGGTGCTGGTGGCAAATCTTTTAAAAAAGTGGTCTCTGTTAAACTACTTCAAAACTTTTCTATACTGACACTTATCTGTTGTTGCGGACCATTTGTTGATCTCTGCATGTCTTTTGGTTTTCGTGTCATTACATCATGCACATCTTCATTTATTCATATTTATAGTCTTTACTATATTTTCCCAAGGTTTTATTATTTTTTATTATCACGTTTTCTAACATGCAGTTATATAACTGGCATTCCTTAGACTGATTATTTATCATATTTATTGGATGTCCTTAAATGTGGTGGATTGTGTTATATAACAACCTTGTAGCACCAAACTGACCAAACCTGCAATATTTGACTGAACAATGAAACCATGTTTTAGCTGTGATTTTCATGTTTAATGATATCTATATCAAACACAGTACTGCATTTTCATTGTTATTTGTGGACCTGACAGACCTTATTTTGACTTGGGAATCTGCAACACTTAACCCAAGTATTTGTGACACTTGAACCATTGACGTCAAACAACAATTACTTTGGCATTGTTGCATCAGACATTTTATTTTGTGACAAAAAATGTGTATAGGAATGTTTGTGATGTCCAGTAATGGCGTACAAATAATGATAAGTTGTATTTACAAGGAATGCCTTCCTAATGGCTCTGGACTTGTATTTTACAAAAAATAAGATAGCAGTCCTACAGGTTTTAAAAGAAAATATTTTTCACATATTCTATGTTTTCTTAACAGTCCGTAATGAAAGCGTACCTTTCCAATGTATAATAAATTTTCTTTCCATACACCTGGGTTGAGTCTGTCTGCCTGCAATAAAACATTATATATAAAATCACTGATTCTTCTGCCATTAAATCCTCTAAACATTTATGTTTATACTGATTCAACACTAAACCTAAGTAACTAGGTATCACCAAGACATAGTTTGGTTTATAAGGTAAAGATTAGATCTGCTAAATATCAATTTTTAAACTAAATTTAGAAATGTTTGTGAAGTTTTTATAATTGCATAAATCAAGATATTTTTTTCAAAATTAAAATCCCATTTTAATTTTTGATGGCATTCATGGTATGCAACATTTCCGGAAATCATAATAATTAATCTTGCATAACCTGATGAAAGAAAAGATCTGATTAAGTTAAGTGTTTAATTTCTGGTTGTAACCTACAGATATGAGAAGACTCCCAACAACAATATTATATAACATGCAATGAATTAATTAAACATTAACGAACCTGATGCCACAACGATATTTCAACTTTAAAATTTATCCAAAACGAAAATAATGTCACACTTAAATAATGCTCTATTTTACTGGTGGGAATTGAAAATTTTCAGATTCCAAATAAATCAAGCATTTTTCATCTAAAATAGCGCCACAAAAATAATAAAATTGACAGTACATTACCTCTAAAAAGTGTGTCAAAGCATCCTCAGCTGTTGAGGTAGGTGGTGTAGCAAATAAAGTAGCTGCTGCCTTCCTTTCTAACCAAGATAACATATACACCTAAAAAAAATGGTCAAATGCAAGTATACAATTTACCTCCTTCTCAAGTATAAAGACTATACAGGATTACCTACTAAAAAGGGTTCATAATAATTACTAGCAATGTGGAAAGGAGCAAGTATGGAATAAAACAAATAAAATTCTGGCGGAAAATGCATAAAAAGGAAATTCCATTATGTTATTGAAAATTTACTTTTGTTTCATTATTTCAAAGTATATGTAGTTAATCAGAGCGTTAAAAGATAAGTTTTATTCATTAATGGGAGTTCATCAATGACTTCTCACAGTCACTGAATAATTTCAAGTTTAAAGACTATGCTTATTTCATCCATTCCATAGGCTACAGATACAGTTTTGTCTGCTTCATACCTTAAATTACTCATAGAGATTAAATGTGAATCGAGATTAAGAACTAAACTTTGTTACAAAATAGAAATTGTCCATTTGGATTTTTCTCTAATTGTGAACTTTCAATATTCATAGATTAACATTGCAGCATTATCTGCATATGGAGTATAAGTCTCGCAGTTGGTCCAATATTTTAAAGGTTTCAAAGCTTGTTTTTCCTACCAATATTTCCTTGATTAAAGGTAGCTGCTTACAAAAAAGGGTTCTTGACGTTAAAGTTAAATCACTTCTTTCTTGGTTTTACAGACACTGTCATTGCTTGATTGCCCATTGGGGGGAGGGTATTTGAAACAGGTGATAATGGATATGCTCCTTTTGCCATTGCCATTATTAAATCTTCCTTTTCTTGTTAATGGCTATCATCAAAAGCAACTTATCACTTGAATTTTTACTTGTCGTAAACAACATGACCTGTGTCTGAAGTTTATTTGTCAAAACAGGAAGCACCTTTTTCTATTTCACAGAAAAAGATTCAGCTAAATAACTTAAGGATAAGAATTATGAAAACTAGATGTAGCAGATGTAAGTGAGGTAATGAAGTAACAATTTTGCAATTTATTTACAATGCTGAAACAATGTTTAAAAATATTTCATTATAAATTATAAACGATGTTATAACTTACACCATAGCACCATCTTCCCAGTAAATGATGATTAGAAGGGTCTGTTCTGTTGAGTTCTATGGCTTTCTCTATATGTTCCTGTAACAAATTACAAGATATACCCATCAGTTACCATTAATTATCACACTTATTGTGATTATAAGAAGCACATTCACTAAGATCAACAGAATATTATTGAGACACCAAAAAAAACTGAACAAACTACAGAAAGTATTCTAATTTTCCCTGATGAACTATTTGCATATTGCTCCTTTTTGTTTAATTGTGGATTACAATGGCGCCAGATCCACGTCCTTAAGTCAGACAACCGTAAAATGACCATGAGAGATACAAATGTACTGGCAGGCCAACTTTTTTTTTTTTCAATCCTCTTTAAGTCTTAAAGTGTTTCTATACAGTTGTTAAAATGAGAAGGATAAAGTAAATAAATAGGGCCTGTTCCTTACAACAACTCTAACTAATACAACTAAGAGGCAAAACAGAATATGAAGTGCAATAAATTTATACTAATTTTTTTTCTTTTTTAAATTCATTTTAAACAATTTTTACATGTCAGTATTTCATAGCATTGAATAGTTTAGTCAAAATAGCTATCTCACATGTCTAAACTGTAGTAAGTCAGGAGTAGCTTGACCACGACTTTTAAATTTATTTTTTACTGGCTGGTGGACAGCTCAAGCCTACATGAAATGTGGGTTTGCCACTTTAATATAATTCAGAAAAAAATTGAGGTTTAGAATGAAAGATATGCTCTCACAAAACTTGAAAAAAGGCAAAGGTGTAAAGCCACAAACACTTGGAGAAGCACATTGAATTGCTCAGATATTTGCAAGAATATTTAACAAGGAAAACCAAGTATTTTGATGCTTTTACTTTTGCTTGATAAGAGGCAAGGATTTTTCCATTTCTATTTCTATTTAGATTCCTCCATAAGCTTACCTTAAATACATAACCATTCTTTATCTTGTTCTGTGTTCCTTCATAGTCACCAATGCTTCCTAATGTTATAGAATACCTAAATAAAACAGAACAAACTGGTGCAAGATTTGAATGGGAAATTATGATTTATAAACAATCGTTTCAAACCAATCCTTTATTTAATTGGTCCTGGTCCTATGTTCAGATCTTTGATTAATTTCAATTTATTTTTAGTTGCTGAATATTAAAAAAGATGAATTTAAAAATGTTTATTCTGAATTGTCAGTATCCAAACAGTATCATAATGTATATTAGAAATGTAACCCTATGTTATAAAATTTACCATTTGTGTGAATTAGCTGATTTCTGATTGAGATGTAAGGCTCTTTCGGCTGTATCTTTGGCTGTGTAAAGCATTTCTTTTTTCTTTTCAACATTTCCTTTCCCTCCTTCTATCTGTGCTAACTGATATGTACACTTGGCTAATCTCCAATGGAAATCAGCATCAGTTAAATACTAAAATAATATATATGATTAGTGATACACATGTATATTCTTTCATGCTTTACCAATGTCAATCTTAACATAAATACACTGAACAAAAGACCTTTATTGTTTTGTTTTAAAACCTGACAGGTGTGATAATGGACCATTCTGGATATTTATTTTCTTTTTTAATTTTATTTGGGGTATCAAAAGTAATTTCTTAGGGGTACCTATTGGCTCATAATATATCTGAGATGTACCTATTTTTTTTTAGATAAATTGTGTCAGACAAACATATATACCTTACAGTTTTTTTATACACCAAATATATTTGACCTATTGCGTATGCTAATTGAAAAACAAAACAAAGAACAAAAACTTTACATCAATGAACCATGAAAATGAGGTCAAGGTCAGATTATACCTGCCAGACAGACATGTGCACTTTACAATTATTCCATACACCAAATATAGCTGACCTATTGCTATTAATAGTTGAAAAACAGTCCAAAACACAAAAACTTAACATTGACCATTGAACCATAAAAACGAGTTCAAGGTCAGATGATACCTTCCAGACAGACATGTACACCTTACAATCATTCTATACACTAAATATAGTTGACCTATTGCTTAAAGTACTTGAAAAACAGACCAAAACATAAAAACTTAACATTGACCAATGAACCATGAAAATGAGGTCAAGATTGGATGAAACCTGCCAGACTGACATGAACCCATTACAATCATTCCATGCACAAAATATAGTTAACCTACTGCTTATAAAATTTGAGAAACGGACCTAATCACATAACTTTAACCTTGATCAAAATTCCATGAAATGAGATCGAGGTCAGGTGAACTCTGTCTGACTGACATGTAGATGTTACAAGGAACTCATATACCAAATATAGTTATCCTATTACTCATAATAAGTGAGAAATTTACATGACATAAAAACCTCAATTTTTTTTTCAAGCAATTGCTGAACCGTGAAAATAAGGTCCAGGACAATGGACATATGATTGATGGGAATTTCGTAACATAAGGTATCTGCATACAAGATATGAAGCATCCAGGTCTTCTACCTTCTGAAATATAAAGCTTTCCACAAATAGTTTACACCGACCCGGATAGTAATACCTGTCTCGCATACTGCGACTTTCATTGCAGGTGAGACAAAAATGATATCAACTTAATTAATGATGAGGTACATTTCTCCATGTTTTATCCTGTTTATTTTTGGGTTTTGATCAGAACATCTATTTATTTACTTTTTGCATGATCATATCCATCATGCTTAAAAACCAGATAAAAGGAATCATTTATATTGTGACTAAAAAAAGACACTGAAAAATTACAGAAAAAGAAACTTAATAGAATTTTTCACAAAACCAAATAGAATTTGTTACAATACTTGCACACATGACAATATTTTATAAATCTACAAAATTATAGGTCTTTCGAAAATGAGAATCAATGTTTATTTCTTTTATGTACATTAAACTTCATATTTCATTCCATACAAAACGCTCTCCTAAAAGGCCATATTTATTTTATTTAAGTATTCTAATACATGTAGATACTCTTTATGACAATCTTTGATATATTTATTTAAGGAAAGACTGCTGTAATATTTTTTCTGTCTATGCAGAAATAACATCAAAAATGTGGTGCACACTAAATAAAATGCGTATCAGATTATTTAAAAGTGTGCACAACATTTTTGAGGATATTTCGAATAGACAGAAAAAATATTACAGTCATTCCTTATATTCCATTTTCAAAGGAGTAAATCATGAAAAAACGTTGATGACGTCATGGTCACATGACAAAATTATGTCTATGAGCTGATAGACAAAAAACTTTGAGCCAATCAGAAGACGTGTTACATCCAAAATTAAATTATATATAAATACATGTGACCATTATGTTTCCATTTTTGAACATATGAATACCTTAGTTTTGTTATTTTGAAGAAGTTCATATGCTTTTAATTTTTCTGTTTCTCCCCCTTCTATGAATGTATCTATCTCTGTATACAGGGCAGTCACATCAGCACTTGGTTCACCTTTTACTTTATCTTCATTATCAGTACTAGTATCACCTTCTGTTGGAGTTTCAAATTCACTCGAGCTAAAACACAAAGCATATATTTATATGTTCCACTGTTAAACTATACTTTTTGTTTTTTGTTTTTAAATCTAAAAGAAGATAAACTAGAGGCTTTAAAGAGCCTGTGTCACTCACCTTGGTCTATATTCATATTCAACAAAGGACTGACTCTCCAACATTGTACCGGTAGATGAGAATAGAATTTATGACAAAAATTTCTGTTTTGTTGATCTTGTATTGCTGATCATATTTGCTTATTTTAGTTTCTATCTATCTATCATAATTTTTAAAGATAAAAGGCAAAAAAGAAAAAATTAGTAAAATCGTCATCAAAGGACAATAACTCTAATAAGGAGTTGACTGAAGATTTTGACCATGTGAATTATTTGTAGATCTTGTCTTGCTGATCATTTTTGCAATTTAAAGTTTCACTCTGTCTTTTATAGTTCAAGATAATAGGCAAAAATGTAAAAAAACAATTGTTAAAATTTGTCATTTAAGGGCAATAACTCCTATAAGAAGTTATCTGACAGTTTTGACGTATATGGACAATTGGTAGTACTTAACATTTTGTCAGATTTTCTCTATATATAACGCTTTTCAAAATAATAGACAAAACTTGCATTTTACCCCTATGTTCTATTTTTAGCCATGTCCGACATCTTGATTGGCAGACGGGGTCATCGGACACATTTTTAAACAAGATACCCAAATGATGATTGTGGCCAAGTTTGGTTAAATTTGGCCCAATAGTTTCAGAGGAAAAGATTTTTGTAAAAGTTAACAGACCACAACGACGACGACAGGCGCCAGGTGATGAAAAGTGCTTACTTGGCCCTATGGGCTAATTGAGCTAAAAAATGAGTCTTCCAAGAATACATCTGTTGCCTGAAGTCTTCAAATAATATAAGCAGAAATAAATGTGGATAGTGTCCACATGTGGACACAGATGATGCCCCCGCTTGCATATCGTATAGTTATAAAGGGACACAACTGAAGAACGGTAAAAGTGACACTACCCAAATTTGAACTTGATCTGAGTTTTGTGGTAATAAGCATTGTGTGTTAGTCTCATAACATTTGGTTGAGGCCAACTTAAGTAGAGAACAGAAACTATTATATATATATAAAAAAAAATTCTATTTGTAAACACGCATAACTCTGTAACGTTGTGTATAAGTTTTATAACATTTGGTTGAGACAAACTAAAATTAGAGAACTGAAACGAAAAATTGAGCAATTTTTATGCTTTTAAAGGGACATAACTCAAGAATGGTAAAAGTGTCGCCACCAAATTTCATACTTAAACTGTATTATGTAGTAATAAGCATTGAGGCAAACTAAAGTAAGAAAACGGAAACAAAAAATTTGTACTTGAATTAAGTTTTGTGGTAATGAATATTGTGTATAAGTTTCATAATGTTTGGTTGGGGCAAACTAAAGTTACAGAATGGCAACTAAAAATTTTGCAATCTTTCGATTTATAAAGGGGCATTACTCAATAATGGTTAAAGTGACACTTCCCAAATTCAACTTGATCTGTGTTTTATCAGTGGAAGTCAAAATTAAACATTGCATTGTATAAAGCATTGACTGTAGTTGATTCAACTATAATCATGGACAAAGGAAGATAACTCCAATTTTAAAAATTACCTAATATTAAGAAGAAAATAAAATTTTGCAAATTTTTCCATTTATAAAGGGGCATTACTCTAGAATGGTTAAAGTGACGCCACTTAAATTCAACCTTGATCTGTGTTTTGTGGTAATAAGCAATGTGTATAAGTTTCATAACCTTTGGTTGAGGCAAACTTAAGTTAGAGAACGGAAACTAAAAATTTTGCAATTTTTCCATTTATAAAGGGGCATAACTCTAGAACGGTTAGAGTGACGCCACCAAAATTCAAACTTGATCTGTGTTTTGTGGATATAAGCAATTTGTATAAGTTTCATAACATTTGGTTGAGGCAAACTTAAGTTAGAGAACGGAAACTAAACATTTTGCAAATTTTCCATTTATAAAAGGGCATAACTCTAGAACAGTTAAAGTGAAGCCACCAAAATTCAAACTTGATCTGTGTTTTGTGGTAATAAGCATTGTGTATAAGTTTCATAACATTTGGTTGAGGCAAACTTAAGTTAGAGAACGGAAACTAAAAATTTTGCAATTTTTCCATTTATAAAGGGGCATAACTCTAGAACGGTTAAAGTGACGCTATCAAAATTCAAACTTGATCTGTGTTTTGTGGTAATAAGCAATGTGTATAAGTTTCATAACATTTGGCGCAGCTTGATACGACCGCAGAGGTCGAACCCTGAACAGTTGGGGCAAGTATGGACACAACATTCAAGCTTGATACAGCACTGAATTTGGATTGTGATTAAATATTTGACACAGATAGGTTTCTGACACAGAATGAATGTGGTCTAAGAACTTAAAAATATTTAATTTACCTATTTAAACCATATCATTATTATTTGCTTTTATATATAAATCAGAAATAACCAATTTAAAATGGAAAATTTTAAAGAAAAAAAAAAAAGAAAAAAAAATCCCCCCCCCCACCCAAATTTTTTGAACCTCCTTATGATTCATCACCCCCAAACTCAATCCCAGCCTTCCCTTTGTGGTATGGTGCCTTGCAGTACAATTTCAGAGAGATCCATACACTCGAACACAAGTTATTGTCTAGAAACTAGAAAAATGCTTGTTTTTTTACCCCTTTTTGGCCCAAAATTCCTAAACATTTAGGGCAATTACCCCCAAACTCAAACCCAGCTTTCCCTTTGTGATATGGAACCTTGTAGTACAATTTCATAAAGATCCATACACTTACACACAAGTTATTGTCCTGAAACTAGAAAAATGCTTGTTTTTTGCCCCTTTTTGGCTCCTAATTCCTAAAATTTTGAGGCAATTACCCCCAAAATCAATCGCAGCTTTCCCTTTGTGATATGGTACCTTGCAGTACAATTTCAGAGAGATCCATACACTTGAACACATGTTATTGTCTGGAAACTAGAAAATGCTTATGTTTGGCCCCTTTTTGGCCCCTAATTCCTAAATGTTAAGGGCAATTACCCCCAAACTCAATTCCAGCTTTCCCTTTGTGATATGGAACCTTGTAGTACAATTTCATAAAGATCCATAGACTTACACACAAGTTATTGTCATGAAACTAGAAAAGTGCTTGTTTTTTGCCCCTTTTGTGGCCCCTAATTCCTAAAATTTTGAGGCAATTACCCCCAAAATCAATCCAAGCATTCCCTTTGTGATATGGAACCTTGTGGTACAATGTCAGAGAGATCCATACACTTACACACAAGTTATGTCTGGAAGTTACAAAAATGTTTATTTTTGGCCCCTAATTCCTTAACTGTTGGTACCATAACCCCCAAAATCAATCCCAACCTTCCTTTTGTGGTATTGAACCTTATGGTAAAATTTCATAGAGATCCATTCACTTAAACTAAAGCCAACGTCATACCAATATACGACCGCAAAAAAATTTTGCAGTCGTATAAAAAATCACTCGGTCATTTTATTATGTTGGGTTGCTGGGTCATCCTTTTATTCATATGCATTATGAATATCCCAATTAGTTCACTAATGTTCAGTAAAATTTTTGGAGGGCAAAACTGCAAGTTTTGGTGATAGAATTTGACAGTTTTTACCATGTAATAGCAAGAAATATGAGACAATTCTGTCCAGATACAACTCAGTTCATTTTTAAAGGCAAGTTGGATTATCTATGAGGACAACTTGGACCATGATGTTAGATATTTTATGAAGGTTTTAAAATGTTATGGTTCAAATAAAAGATAGTTTCGGCATTTGCCAATGCCTTATTATCAAATTAATATTAAATGAAAATAAGGAGATGTGGTATGATTGTAAATGAAAAAACTATCCACCAGAGTTTAAATGATGAAGATAAAAACATTTATAGGTCACAGTACGGCCTTCAACCATGAGAAAAACTCATACCCTATAGTCAGCTAAAAAAGGCCCTACCATGAACTAGAGGCTCCAAAGAGCCTGTGTCGCTCATCTTGGTCTATGTGCATATTCAACAAAGGACGCTCTCCGACATTGTAGACGATGAATATAATTCATGACAAAAATCTCTGTTTTGTTGATCTTGCATTGCTGATCATTAATTCTGTTTAGCTTCTCTTTATCTTCTTTAGTTTTTGCTCAAAACACAAAAGAGGGTACAAAAATCCTCATTTAAGGGCAATCACTCCTATAATGAGTGACAGACAGTCTACTAACTGTATCAGAAAATTTTGACTAGTTAGTAGATCTTGCCTTGCTGACTATTTTTGTGATTTAAAGTGTCTATTTATCTATTATGATTTTTATCTTATAAGCCAAAACGCAAAAAAATGGTAAAAATCGTAATTAAAGGGCAATAACTCCAATAAGGAGTCATCGGACTATTTCCTACATATTGTCTAAATGGTAGAACTTGTCTTGCGTATCATTTTTGCTTTTTCTATCTATCTATTATATAATTTTTAAGATATAAGGCTAAAACGCAAAAATTTGGTAAAATTGTCATCAAAGGGCATTAACTCTAATAAGGAGTCGAGTTTCGACCACACCATACTTATTTGTAGAACTTGAACAATTGGTAGAGCTCAACATTTAGAACATTTTTGCCCCTGTCAGATTTTCTCTATTTGTAACGGTTTTCAAAATAATAGACAAAACTTGCATTTTACCCCTATGTTCTATTTTTAGCCATGTCGGCAATCTTGGTTGGCAGGCCGGGTCATCCGACACATTTTTAGCTCACCTGGCCCAATGGGCCAAGTGAGCTTTTCTCATCACTTGGCGTCTGTTGTCCGTCGTTGTTGTCCGTTAACTTTTACAAAAATCTTCTGCTCTGAAACTACTGGGTCAAATTTAACCAAACTTGGCCACAATCATCATTATGGGTAACTAGTTTAAAAAATGTGTTCGATGACCCTGCCTGCCAACCAACATAGATAGAACAAAATAGAACTTAGGGGTAAAATGCAGTTTTTGGCTTATATCTCTGAAACTAAAGCATTTAGAGCAAATCTGACAGGAAGTGAAAATGTTCATCAGGTTAAGATCTAACTGCCCTGTAATTTTCAGATGAATCAGACAACCCATTGTTGGGTTGCTGCCCCTGAATTGGTAATTTTAAGGAAATTTTGCAGTTTTTGGTTATTATGTTGAATATTATTATACATAGAGATAAACTGTAAACAGCAACAATATTCAACAAAGTACAATCTACAAATAAGTCATGACCAAAATTGTCAATTGACCCCCTTAAGGAGTTATTGGCCTTTATAGTCAATTTTTAACAATTTTCTTAAATTTTTGTAATCTTTTACAAAAATCTTCTCCACTTAATCTACTGGGCCAAATAGAATTAAACTTAGCCACAATTTTCAATAGGGTATCTTGATTGAAAAATGTGTCCTATGACCCTGCCATCCAATCAACATGGCCACCATGGCTAAAAATAGAACATAGGGGTTTACTATAGAAGTCTATGGGAAAATTGTAAAAAAAAATGTTTTCAAATGGTCACAACTTGAAAACTAATTTAAATAATGATGAGGGGTCTTCAGTAACTATTGTAAGACTACAATGAGATGACCTGCTTTTAATTTAACTACATGTACTGGGCCAAATTAAACCAAACTCGGTCTCAATCATTATTAGGGTATCTAATAGTAATACTATTTATTATGATTTGAACCTTATTTTACATGATTTCCAAAACAACAGTAGATACAGGTGAGCAACACAGGCTCTTGAGAGCCTCTAGTTTAAACTAGATACCCCAATTATGATTGTAGCCAAGTTTGGTTAAATTTGGCCTAGTAGGATTTTCAAAAGTTGGAAGTTCTGTAATGTTCCCTTTTTAAATTTGTACAACAACAAAACAAAACTAAGATTCCTGTTATAATACCTATTGGATTTGTATTTACAACATACAGGTACGTGATTAAGAATCACTATTTAATAACGGTGGACATGTTTTAAAAATATGGACACAATTGAGAGTTCACATAAAAGGGAGACGTTTTGGTCTCATAAGGACAAGTTTAGGGGATGGACACATTTGGGCATTTTTTTTTATTTTTCCGATTGGGCGTTTATAAAAAAACGGGACATTCTTTGGAGCCCTTTAGCAACTAGACATGTCATGCATGTTTTGCAGTGACGTCAAATGAACATATTTGGGGGGAATCAAACATGTTTGGGGGGATGGACACTTTTCTGAGTGTTACAAAGTTCTTCATTTCCAATCAAGGGCCCCTGATGGGACATAATGACATTGAATAATACACAATACATTCTCATTACATATATACATTTGTAGATATAAGAAGATGTGGTATGAGTGCCAATGAGACAACTCTCCATCCAAGTCAAAATTTATAAAAGTAAACCATTATAGGTCAAAGTACTGTCTTCAACACAGAGCCTTGGCTCACAACGAACAGCCAGCTATAAAGGGCCCAAAAAAATACTAGTGTAAAACCATTCGAACGGGAATCAACAGTCTAATCTATATAAAAAACGAGAAAGGAGAAACACTTGTGAACCACATCAACAAATGACAACTACTGAACATCGGATTCCTGACTTAGGACAGGTGCAAACAATTGCAGCAGGTTTAAATGTTTTAATGGTACCAAACCTTCACACTTATCTGAAACAATAGTGTAACATCACAACATAGAAAGACACACTATAAAATATCAATTGAAATGGCTTAACGTACATGTTTCTTATTACCATGATTACACTTATTCTTAGGAAATTAATTGGGGTCAATCCATCAATTAATTCAGGTAAAATTCAAAACATTAATCTCAAAGAATATATATCAAAATTGTATGTATATGTTTTAAGGCCGATGTTTTAAAGACAATTCATAAAATATTTGGGATATTGGACACTTTTTGCTGAAGTATGAGTTTGCATCAATACAACTTTGCAGTGGTACAAGTTGACAATACTAGTTTACTTTTAGTGGTATGAGTTTACATGTTACATATTTACAATTGTATGAGTTAATGAGTCAACTTGCTTCCCCTTTTTACAACCCTCATAAAAGTCGTACCCTCCTAGAGCATCTTCATAATTGTCAGTTTCATCACCACTACTTGCACTGATCACTGAATAGTATCCGGATCTCTTTTTTCTCCACTTTGACTTTCCTTCAAGTTTCTCATTTAGGATAGTGATTTCTGCTTTCAAAGTTTCTATTGACGACGACAGTCTATGGATTTCTCTCAAGAAAGTGCTCGTTAATTTTAAATAAAGAATGGTTCCTCCTACACCAACACATAAACTTGTTCCTAGCACCGTCATTAGGTTTGAATTTTGTTTAAAAAAGGTTGACATTCTGTTTGTTCTTTATGTTTTAAGTATTTTTCTAGTTCGAAAAATCGAAACTTGAGGGAGGAAAACCGGAAGTAAAATAGAAACTAGACAAAAACCAACAACCAACAACGGTCCTAATTGCAAACACAAAATGTATTCATTATTTTAAACTATAAAACTCAAATAAAGCTACTGTGACGTTCTAAGAAGCTAAAAATATCCTGGATGAAAATTACGCCAATTAAAAAGCTTAAATCTTTCAGTTGTGGCAAATTTTTGTGGCAAGGGAGACAACTATCACCACCAACAAAATTTGACATTTAGATTTACAAATTAACAAACAAATAATCTCTTTGCAATGCCATATGTTATCATCAGTACACAAATACGATTGGTAATTTTTCAAAATGTGCTTATTTGAATCATCACAAAAGTCAAAACGACATATTCTGTATTCAAGAGTGAAATCCACAGACCCTAATATTTAATACCCATTTTGTTGAGATCCTCATAAATATGTATTATACACTTTTATTGGGTATTATACTCCAAATCAGGTATCAATTTACATTGACAACTTTTTTCAAAGTGCCAGTGGTAGCTATTTTCACTACTTGTCATGCTCCGTCTGCCATATCCACTCCTTGTCTATGGCTTGACTTTTACAAAAATCTTTTGATATATAGCCTAGGTGGTAGAGTGGTCTAGCGCGTAGGGCATAGTGCAAGGTTTTGGTGCCACGATATCTAAGTAGCATGAGTTTGAATCCCGGCCAGGGAAGAACAAAAAATTTGCTTCCGCAAATTTACAGATCTAACATTGTTGGGCTGTTGTTTAGACGAATTATATATACAGAATATATTTTCAGCCTTGTATCACCATCACTGCTGGTGATCCAATGGATAAAATCTGTTGTAGAGTCGTCACTGGTTCAGACGTACTTATATATATATTTGTTTTGCATGCACACGTATAAAAATTGCGGTTTTTATCCAACGCAATCATAGGTTTGAACGTTGTTTTCAATCTAGACTTGTTTATATTTTTTTGTTTGGGCTTGTATTATATTTGCCTTTGGGTTTATATGATCTGTTCATCCTATTTTGACTCTTTCAAAATTCAAGAGTCTATCCCTAATTGAGGTAAATTGTATGACCTTCCAAATACCGTTTCGATTCCTAACATCACTGAAGAGACATTAATTGTCGAAATCTTGATATGGTGTACAAATTTTTGCACCTCATGTTTGCGGTATACCATCTTTTCCGCAAGTTGTATAATAAAAACTATAACACAATTTTCCATACGTTTTCGGCCATTACGGCCTTCTTCATTGGAATAAATTACAACATTGAAACAACAATTACATCGCTTGGATACATTACGTTATAATAACTACTATGAAGTTCATTTGCCATGTTTCTAAACCGAGACGATCTATTACAGTACAAACCAAAGAAAGAAAACGACAGAGTACCCTTGATTACTTTTTCCAAAGCGCTTCCAAATATACATTCAGTTCTCAGAAAAAATCTTAAAATTCTCCATCAATCTAACAGGCTAAGAAAAATATTCCCCAATCCGCCTATCTTAGCATTAAACGCGACAACAACATAAAAGACATCTTAGTGCACAAGAAGCACAATTTACAATTTTATAAACAAACTAATGGCTGTGGACCATGCGGTAAAAATTGTGCATTATGCTCACACATAAATGAAACCAAGGTATTTTGTGACAACACCGGGAAAGATTATACCATTCAGGGACAAATAAACTGTAAAACCGTGGGCGTAGTATATGCAATTAACTGTACAAAATGCGAAAAACTTATATATGTAGGACAAACGGGTGATACACTTTATCAACGGATGCTATTGAACTTTTCAAAAATACGAACAAACAAAACAGACGATCCGGTAGCAAACCACTTCATTCAGCATAATCATTCGATGAAAAATTTAAAATTTACTGCCATAGAAAGAGTATTTGGAACAGAAATTTACAGAAAAACTAAAGAAGCCTTTTGAATAAAAAAAATTAAAAACTTTAGAGCCTGATGGACTCATCACAATGTATGAACGATAGTGAAAATATTTATAAAAAAAAAAAAAGAAAAAAACGTGGCAAATGAACGTCATAGTAGTTATTATAACGTAATGTATCCAAGCGATGTTATTGTTGTTTCAATGTTGTAATTTATTCCAATGAAGATGGCCGTAATGGCCGAAACATATGGAAAATTATAGTTTTTATTATACAATCATTCAGAGACTTTATATATATATATATATACAAGGCTAAATTGAAAACAACGTTCAAACCTATGATTGCGTTGGATAAAAACTGCAATTTTTATACGTGTGCATGCAAAACAAATTTCTTGGTAGAGGGGTCTAAATACAGCACAAACAACATTTTCCAAAAGACCAAAAAGTGAAAAAGTATATTTTAACAAAACGCATTTGACTAGCAGGTCGAACAACGGATGTTCTTAAACCCTGCTGACTGCCATGGCGATTTCCAAATAAACGGATCACAGATGTAACTAAATGGATCTTAATTTTAATCTAATACCAAATAGAAAAAACAAAAAACTTGCAGAAAAGATGGTATACCGCAAACATGAGGTGCAAAAATTTGTACACCATATCCGGATTTCGACAATTAATGTCTCCTCAGTGATATATATATATGTATTTAGACCCCTCTACCAAGAAATTTGTTTTGCATGCACACGTATAAAAATTGCGGTTTTTATCCAACGCAATCATAGGTTTGAACGTTGTTCTCAATTTAGACTTATTTATATTTTTTCGTTTGGACTTGTATATCTGTATTATATTTGCCTTCGGGTTTATATGATCCATTCATCCTATTTCGACTCTTCAAAATTCAAGAGTCTATCCTAAATTGAGGTAAATTATATGGCCTTCAAAATACCGGTACATATAGCCGTTTCGATTCCTCACATCACAGAAGAGACATTAATTGTTGAAATCCGGATATGGAGTACAAATTTTTGCACCTCATGTTTGCGGTATACCATCTTTTCCGCTTTTTACTGTTTTCTGGTTGATATTAAATTAATAATAAAGATCCATTTTTTTACATCTTTTGGAAAAAAATTGAGCAAGGTGTGTCCTGACATAAGTGTTCATGTACTCAGATATTTAGTCATAGGGTGGTTTCTGTATTTGGTATCCTCAGCTTTGATATACTACCTTACTGAAAAATCAGCCTTCTGGCAAACTGCCGCAAACACATCGGTAAGGTTGCTGCAACTTCACCCTGACTTTTTACCATGCAAATGAAGGTTGCGGCAGACTTGCCGCAAAGTTTGATAGCCTTATATAGTTTGTAGCAAACTTCTGGCGACTATTTGTGGTGAACCTCTGGCGAACTTTGATAGCCTTATATAGTTTGTGGCGAACTTCTGGCGACTTTTTGTGGTGAACTTCCGGCAAACTTTCAAAGCCTTATATAGTTTGTGGTGAACTTCTGGCAAATCAAATATGCTAATGATGCCTTGTGGCTACCTTTCTGTTAATTCTTTTTCAAAACTGTACGTCTCATTCAAAACATGCACATATATAGGGATCAAATTTAAATTGTATTAATTATTATGACCAATAATTGTTATTTACCTGCTGATCAAAATTTCATTTTTATACGACCACAAAATTTTTGTGGTCGTATATTGGTATGACGTTGGCGTCAGTTTAAGTGAATGGATCTCTATGAAATTATACCACAAGGTTCAATACCACAAAAGAAAGGTTGGGATTGATTTTGGGGGTTATGGTACCAACAGTTAAGGAAAAAGGGGCCAAAAAGGGGCCAAAAATAAGCATTTTTGTAACTTCCAGACATAACTTGTGTGTTAGTGTATGGATCTCTCTGACATTGTACCACAAGGTTCCATATCACAAAAGGAATGCTGGGATTGATTTTGGGGGTAATTGCCTCAAAATTTTAGGAATTAGGGGCCAAAAAAGGGGCAAATAACTAGCATTTTTCTAGTTCCATAACAATAACTTGTGTGTAAGTGTATGGATCTTTCTGAAATTGTACTACAAGGTACCATATCACAAAGGGAAAGCTGGAATTGAGTTTGGGGGTAATTGCCCAAAACGTTTAGGAATAAGGGGCCAAAAGGGGGCCAAAAAATAAGCATTTTTCTAGTTTCCAGACAATAACTTGTGTTCAAGTGTATGGATCTCTCTGAAATTGTACTGCAAGGTACTATACCACAAAGGAAAGGCTGGGATTGATTTTGGGGGTAATTACCTAAAAATTTTAGGAATTAGGGGACAAAAAGGGGCAAAAAAAACATTTTTCTAGTTTCAGGACCATAACTTGTGTGTAAGTGTATGGATCTTTATGAAATTGTACAACAAGGTTCCATATCACAAAGGGAAAGCTGGGTTTGAGTTTGGGGGTAATTGCCCTAAATGTTTAGGAATTTGGGGCTAAAAAGGGGCAAAAAAACGCATTTTTCTAGTTTCCAGACAATAACTTGTGTTCAAGTGTACAGATCTCTCTGAAATTGTACTGCAAGGCACCATACATTGTAACACAAAGGGAAGGCTGGGATTGAGTATGGGGTGATGAATCATAAGGGGGTTCAAAAAATTTGAGGGAAGATTTTTTTTCCTTTTTTTTTCTTTAAAATTTTCCATTTTAAATTTGTTATTTCTGATTTATATATAAAAGAAAATAATAATGATATGGTTTGAATAGGTAAATTAAATTTTTTTAAGTTCTTAGACCACATTCATTCTGTGTCAGAAACCTATGCTGTGTCAAATATTTAATCACAATCCAAATTCAGTGCTGTATGAAGCTTGAATGTTGTGTCCATACTTGTTAAAGAAATGTGAAAGAGAGAAATATAAATTTTGACCACAAAAAAAAACAACAACAAAAAAAAACAGAAAAACTAAATATAGGTACATGTATATCTATTAATTTACTCAGTGCAGAATTCAGAATGAGCTGATTAATTTCTTAACAGATTCATATGTATGATAAAATCAAAACAAATCTGATTATTGATGTTTTTATAATGGTCAATTATAAAGAAACTGGG